TGAGCTCACACTGATACTCCTGCCTCAGCCTCCCCAGTGCTCGGATTATAGGCACCTGTCACCATGGCCATCAAGAAAGACATTCTGAACTTGGCATAGAAATGAGTATTCCACAATTAATAACTTTGGCCACATAACAAGTAACTCAAGCCAGGTGTGTTGGTATAGGACTATATTGTGATGAAGAAATACAAATGGAAAATAAATATATGAAAACATGTGTAACAGCATTGGTCATTCAAAAGATGCAAATGAAAACAACACTGAGATTCCATCTCACCCCAGAAAAAACAGGTGTCATTAAGAAGTCAACCAATAACAAATGCTGGAGGGGCTGTGGAGAAATAGGAACCCTTCTCCACTGTCTGTGGGAGTGTAGAGTGTAGTGCAACCACTGTGGAAATAAGTATACAGATTCCCCAAAAAACTAGAATCAGAGGTCCATTTGACCTAGATCTTCCTCTTCTGGGTATCTTCCTGGAAGAATTAAAAACATCATATCACTGCATGTGCACTGTGTAGCGGCATATTTTGTAATAGCTCAATTATTCAAACAATCCAAATACCCATCAACCACAGAATGGATAAAAAGATGTGGCATTTTATACAGAAGAGTATTACTCACCTGTAAAGAAAGTTAACTGGAGAGTTTGATAGGTAAATAGATGCAACTAGAGACTATACTCATAAATGAAGTAAATCAGACTCACATGTGTAGACATTGTGTTGTCTCTTTGATGTGAAAAACTGAAAAAGTAAATAAGATCTAAAATGTACGATAGATATTGTAAAATGTGAAGAAATTGTTAATAAGGAAAAAGACACGAGGATGGGTGCAGGGAAAAGGACAGTAGGAAAAAGGGAAAAATGCAACTCAGTAACTATCAGTGTGTCTTAGTTCATGGGCAAGTTTGTGCTTATATTGACTGGAGAGTTTTTATGTCTTCTGCTCTGAGTAAATACTTGAAAGATAATAATGTGCAATGTATTCACTATTATTATTCGATCATTTTGTTGTGAAACTTTGTTTTACTTTTGTTCCATAAAATTAAAAAAATAAAAAATAAGTAAACTACTATACTGATATGGATAAACGGTGAGTGAGGACAATAAACACTTGGGGAGGAAAGACACGCTGGAAACTTTCACACGTTCTTTAGATAGGAAAAGCATCACCCTTCGCTCCTCTGCTGCATGCACGTGGGCTATGCTTGGCGGTTCTTTCTGAGGAGAAGTGGAGTGTGGGGAAGGGGAGGAGCAACCGCAGCTGAAAAGTCATACTGCCAGTCTGACTATGAGGAGCAGCAGAAAACCCAACACATGGGACTCTCCATCAAAAACCTGACTGCTTCTCAACACTGTCAAACACATCAAAAACAAAGATATGCCAGCGCAGACCCTGGGGCGAGCTGAGAGGCAACTGAAGCTGGGCGTGGTGGCGCGCTCCCGTAATCCCAGCGCTTGGGAGGCTGCAAACAGGAGAATCACTAGGAGTCCCATCTGTGTAGTGAGCCCCTGTAAACCCTGTACTAAATACATAAATCAAAAAACAGAAAACAAAACAAAACAAAAAAACAAAGAAAGTTCAGGAACTGGTGTCGTCTGCTGCATTCGCAGGATGGAAAGACATTGAATAGAAACCAAGAAAGTCTAAATATGAGAGTTTAGTTTATAACAGTAGAGCAATATCAGCATATTAATTGTAAAAAATATACTAGCATACTATAAGAAATTTTCTGTAAATTTAAGACACTTTTTTAAAAGAAATTTTTAAAATATAGATTTTTTAATGTATTTGGTACAGAGTCTCGCTGTGCAGCTTGGACTCCTGGTGCTCTTCCTGTTTGCAGCCTCCCCAGCACTGGAATTACAGGCAAGCACCACCCTGCCTAGTCTTAGTGACCAGCTCAGCATGAGCAGGGGCAGGGCCTGTGCAGCATGTGGTGTGTGGGATTGAACCCCGGTTCCTGTGCTTGCCTAAGCAGGTGCTTGGCCCACTGAAATATGTCACTGGCCCTTAAAATATATTTTTTAAAACAATTAAAATCTCTAGAGTAAAATTAAAAATAAATAAAGCCTATAATATAGTAATTTAACTTCTATGACTATGTCACATGAATATAATCACTCAAATAAGCAGGGGTATATGAAAAAGCATGATTATAAAAAATGCTGGATATAATTATAGTTCTGAATTTAAAAATATAAGCTGAAGGGCAGGCCAAATAGCTTAGCAGATTAAGGCTCCTGCACACAGATGCAGGAGCCAGGGGTTCGATCCCTGGGCCTGCTGTGCCAGCCCTGACCCTGGGGCACATTGAGACAGCCAATGAGACTGGGCGTGGTGGCACACTCCTATAATGTCAGCACTTGGGAGGCTGTAAACAGGGGTATCACTATGCGTCCAATCTAGTAGTAAGACCCTGAACACCCTGTAGACCCTTCCCTAAAATACACACACACACACACACACACACACACACACACACACACACAAAGTAAGCAGGGCATGGGTGGTGCACTCTTGTAATTTCATCACTTGGGGGCTAAGGCAAGGGGATCACTGTGAGTTTGAGGCCAACTTGGGGTGTGAAGTGCGTCCAAGGCCTGCCTGAACTGCATAGCAGACCCCTGTCTCAAAAAGACAAAAACAAAACAGAAAAAATAGAAACAATAAAACAAACCTAAGATGCTTAGGGATGTAGTTTAGTGGTAGAACTCTTGCCTAGCAGGCAGTAAGCCCTGGGTTCCATCCCCAGAACTGTAATAAGATCAAAATAAACACAGCATCAACAAAGCAGCAAATACCTTCCAATCCAGGACTGGTAAAATAAAAGATTATATTATATGTATTATATGTAATATATATATATATATGTTATAATAGTATTTAGTTATTTTAAATGGTATTTCTAAATCTTTAGATATTTAAATGTCTATAGCATTTCTGAGAAAAGAGGTAACAAAACAAAGTACATAGTCTAATTCCAGTGAGAGACAGTAATGTGTATTTGTGCTTGTATGATGTATGACACTTACATCTGATGATACCTAGACCATCACAATGGGTGTGCTTGATATATATTTCCTCTGTGTGTGTGTGTGTGTGTGTGTGTGTGTGTGTGTGTGTGTCGGGATCAGCCCACCCTGGGGGATCGAGCTGTGGTCCCTGAGCTTTGCCTAAACTTGCCTAAGCAGGTGCTTTAGACCACTGAGCTATCTTGCTGGCCTCACTGGATATATATTTCTGTCCAGATTTTATGTATATATTTTTCTTCTTCGTGCTTTCTGAATACTCTTAAGTTTTTATATGTTGTGCATTATCTTTATGGCATACTAAAATTACCTTTACTTTTAGAAAAGTAATGTGTATATCATATTTTACTGAAAAATTTGAGAATGATTTTAAAACAATATATATGTGTGCTAATTAGAATTGTGTTCTAAAGACTTACTATTTTAAAAAGGATCATACAATACTTTTCTATTTGTTTCATGTTCTTCTGTATTGGTGACTACATTATGCTTTATTCTGTTTTTCTAATTTTTTTGTAAGTTTACTTACACTCTACCGACATAGAGCTGACCTACTATATCCGAGCTGTTCTGGCAGGAACTGAATAAACTCAAGAGGACATCTGGATTTGTTGACAAATTAACTGGGAGTTAATTCCCTGCTATTAATCCGGCTCTCTGCCACTGTGCACCTCCTAGTTTGCCTCCTGTGCTGTGCAGGTGGGCACAGGAGTCAGCACAAGGTAGCTCTGTGTGGGTGTGAGGACATCAGTATGGATGGCTGTCCTCAGACTGCTCTCTCACTGGTCTGTAGCTTGAAGAAATTGAGGTATGTCTGCTGGCTTGAACTCTAGATTATGGGATTTCATGGTACAAATGATACAGGAAGCATTTCTGTGAATTTCTAAAAAGAGATTGTGTAGGGAAAGTAGTGTGTAAGCGTGCAGGGCTGCCTTGATCAGCCCAAGAGGAAGTGCTGTCTGCATTTTCACATTTTCTGGAGTATCCTTTACTTGAGGCAGTCATCCTTTTGCCTCTTTTCTAGAGTACTGGAATGCACTTTGAATGAGTCTTTCTGCATTCGCATTCTTTCTTTAATTTAATTTATACACTTTTGAACATGAATATGTCAGACCCAGTTTCCATCATGTTACTGCCAGCTCAGGAGGTACTACCTGCAAAATAAGACCCAAACTTGTGAAGCACTTTCTTCTATGCTTTGGCTCAACTTGTAGCCATTGTTTGCCTGCTTTGTTCCCAAGGCCAACCTGAAGTCATCTTTTGTAAGAAAATTGTCTGTGATCTCCATATTGGTCATAATTGACCCACCTGCTTCACCTGCTTACCAGGATCTTGGATTCACTTATATCTTACAGTGTAAATCCTGGAGCCTTGTTTCATGCCCTTGAAAAGGTGAAGTAAGGGAGAAAGTCTGAGTACAGACATTTCTGATCTGCGGGTTGGAAGGCCAGACACAGTCTGCACTGATCCAGGACCTGGCAGGTGGCCCGTGGCCTCTGGGAGAGAGAGCCAAAGCTTGCTTCACACGTTCCCACCAAACTTTTATTAGGCTTGCCATTGAACTGAAATGTGATATTGTCCAAACTATGCTACATGGCAAGCGTGTTCTTTAATACTTTCTGTATTTTGTTGGCTAGAGAAAGAATAAAGAGGCAAAATGAAAGGAATTTGAAAGACAATCTCAATACTTAATGTGCACACCAATAGGAATCCAGTTTCTGCAGTCACATTCAAATATGAATTTATTTATGGTCTGCTTAACAATCAACACTTATGACAATAACATGTAAATAAGAACTAGTACATTCAAAAACCACTTAGAGAAAGTACAGAGAAACATTTCTGTCACTCAAAAGAGAAAACAATGAAGAGCATGTCACAATTAAAAATATGTGTTAAAACACTATGTTTATTATTATAATTATTTTTGATGTAATAAAGAAGAAAGACAAGTGTTAACATACCATAGATTCAATTCTTTCACTCAGGAGTCTGTATTCTTGTGTACCTGGTGAGCTTAACTGGTCATTGTATTCAACATTTGTTACTCGAACATTACTATGGTAAAAGCAAGGTTTTTGATCTGCAAAACAAAAGCAGGGTCAGTCTCACATAATGAAGTAGTTGAATTTTTTCAGGATTTTAGGAAATTATATGACACAATTGAAATTTGTTTCCTTAAAAAAAGAAAAGAAAAATTTACTCTTCATATGAATGTAACTATACTATTGGCTTTCTTTCAGTTTTTAAAAAAGACTGGCAAACTTATAACTTTAAAGCCTGCATGAAATTTACAGTAGCATTATTATTTGGGACATTAAGAATATTCCAAAGTGCTATTATTTTCATTCTTGTTGTATCTTACAGAGATTTGTTGATGCATTCAATAAATATATAAATATCTATAATATGTTATGATTAATGTATCATCAATGAAGAATTCAAGTAACTGTGAATAATTTAAAAATTATTTTATTGGAAATCAACAGAGTTGTAAGGGACAAGCACGGTGGTAGGGTAGGGACGTGAGAAGGATCAGGACGTGTTTTGTTCATGCACCCTCTACCCATGATGCTTCTGGTCATTAGGCACTGAAAATATAATCAATAACAATTATTTTAAGCAATATTCTTTGTAGAAGAATTAGTGCTTTGACATTAAAATTTCTGTACTAAGCTGCAAATAAATCTTCCAGAATATCTAATCTACTTTGTACACTGAGTTATTTTCATAAAAAGGGATCTTTCAGAATACATATTCTGCTATGTGACATGATAAAAATTTCAAAAATATACCTCCTTCACACAGCTCCAAACATCACAAATAGTGACAGGACTCTAATAGAATTTACTCCTGAAAAAATAGATTTTTTTATTCATTTATATACACAATTTATGAAGATAATATCTTACACACAGGAAAGCATGTGGAGGCTCATCTTTGGCCTTTGTGGTATATTCAACCATAAGTGATCAGGGTATATAATTTGTATGGGGGGACCAGGGAGATGACTCAGTAGAATAAGCGCTTTCCTGGCAAATGCAAGGGCCTGAGTTCAATTCCTGGTTCCACACACAAAAAAATTGTATGGGACTCATTGATAGATGCCTCTTTACGTGGTTTTTAAATTTTTAATTTTTTATTAGTACATGTTTGCAGTACATAATAACTTATATTCATTGTAGGGAATTGGCACATATATATAGCACATCTCAAATCTTTTTTTCCCCTTTCTCCTCCACCACCTTTTAAAAATGCTGTATTTTTGTTCTTTGGAGGATTTTGGTCAGCATCAGATTCATTTATTTATTTTGTAAGTCTTTATAAAATTAATTACCATAAACATTAAAAGGCAGACTAACAGGCAAAAAGTCCTATAAGGCACATAAAAGAATTATGTTAAATCTGAGTACACCTTCAGATATATTTGGCCATGCTGGATTGCAATAATTTATTTTCTCTCTTGTTTATCCTATTATCTTTTATTTTGCATTTTATTTATATATTTAACTTCTCATATTAGAAGAACCATGATGCCCACTGCTTTGACTTCTGGGGAGTTAGAAGCTTTTGGAAACATTTTTTTTCCTTTTCTTCTTGTGCTTCTATTATTTTTGGGCTCAGGTTGTGGACATTTATATTATGAAGACTTTGTTGTTAGTATAGACTTTGTTGTCCTTTAGGCTGATTTTCAGTGATGTACATTGAGCATGGCTAGCTACAGTTCTTTGTCTCAATTCTATGACTTGACCACTTCTGTTAATTTGGGAGGGGAGAATGAAATGCAGTTAGTTCAACACCATGCTTTGTGGGAATGTACTCTGGTATTGATAATGTCTCAAAAATAATCTGAACATTGGCTTACAAAGAAATAGCATTATATGACCCTAGTAAAGTCAAGAAAATAAGCTGCAGTATTGTAAACCCTTAACCAATCTCATCAATAAAAAATGAAAAGACCCAAATTACTGCAATTAGAAACAAAAAGAAAAGAAAAGAAAAATAAAAGACACCAATGAAATCAAGAATATTATTAGTAAATACTTTGAAATCTCATCTTTTAAGAGTCAGCAACTCCAGAAGCAATGGTAGATTTCTAGATATATATGAATTACCAAAAATGACCTGAGAAGATATAAAAATCCTAACATTCAGTAATAGGAAATGAAATTGAAGCAGTAATAAAATCCCTATCATCAATAAAAACACCTCCTACCAGCAAGTAGTAATTTAAAAAAAATACTATAAAGAAAAGCCCAAAATCTGATGAATTCACCGGCAAATTCTACAAAACTTCAAGAAAGCTCTAATTACAATATCTTCAAAGACTTTAATGAAATTAAAATATAGTAATGCTCCCTAAGTCATTCTCAAAGCTAGCATTACCAATATGCAAAAGTAGACAAGGATAGAACTAAGATAGAGTTTTACAGACTAATAACTAGTTCACGTAGGTGTGGAAGTGCTCAACACAATGCTGGAAGACCGAGTGCAAGAAGTCATCAACAGCATCATTGCCAAATAGATTTCATTCCAGGGATGTAAGAATGGTTCAACCTGTATAAATCCATGAATGAAATACTTCACACAAACAAAGAGAAGGATAAAAATACATAATAATTTCAACAGATGAAGAAAATCCTTTGACAATATCCAATATCCATTCATTATTTTAAAAATTCTCTGAAAAGGGATGGGGAGATAACTCAGTGGCATTAAGTGCCTGCCTGGCAAGTGCAAGGTGCCAAGTTTGATCCCTGGTACTGTGAAAAAAAATTCCTTGAAAAAATTCATATTGAAGGATCAACCAAATGGTATTATATAAAAATCAAAAGTTTCTGCATATCAATGGAAATATCTGAGTGAAGAGACAATCTACACAGTGAGAAAAATTTTTGCCAGGAATTCCTCAAACAACTAATATCTAGAATAAAGAACTAAAAAAAGAAACACCCTTAGAATCCATCCCCAAAAACCCTACAAAAATGGGCAAAGGAAATAAATATATACTTTTCAGATGTAGAAGGACAAGCTATGGTCAGTATATAAATGAAAAATTCTCTGCATCACTGGCCATTAGAGAAATGTAAATTACAACAACACTGAGATTCCACTTCCCTCCAGAAAGAATATCCATCAAGAAGAGAAATCATAAATGCTGGAGAGGCTGGGGGAGAAGGTACACTTCTACACTGTTGCTGGTAGTGTGCAACCATTATGAAAATCAGTACAGAGAGTTCTCAAAAACTTAAAGTAGAAATTTTATTCTGCCCAGCTATTCCCTTTGTAGGTATCTTTCCCAAAGAGCTAGAGACACAATACCATAGTAATGTATGCATACTTGGGTTTATAGCAGTGCAATTCATAAAAGTTAAATCTTGGAAGGAGCCTATATATCCATCAACAGATGAATAAACAAAGAAATTGTGGTATTTGTAAACAATGGCATACTATTTTGCCATAACAAAAGACAAAGTTGAGTTACTTGTAGGAAAATGAGGATATCATGTCTGCATCTTGTACAATGAATAACCACTAAGACAACAGTATGTAATGTATTAATTATTGAAACTGTGTTAATAATCAGTTTTGAAAAAAAAGAAGTCCTGAGACCACAAAAAAGGGGGGATACAAATGAAGGACCATTTTGTATCTGTATACTCAAAAGTTAGGATAGATATGCAGCTACTTTCTCTTAATTAAAAGAGAAGAAAGATTTGTTCTAATAGTGTTTATGGACAGGATATCATGTCTGCACCTTGTACTATGACTACTCACTAAGAAAACAACAATATGCAATGCATTAATTATTGAAATTGTCCTACTAATCACTTTTGAAACTGTCTCTTTGCTATTTGCTTCTCTATAAAATTATTAACAAAAAAGAATTACATGAAAAAAAAAGAATTGAGGCCATAATGTCAGGTGAAGTAAATCCGACACAGAAGTTTAAATGTTGCATGTTTTCTTGTGTATGACAAACCCAAAATGACAACAAAGAACATTATAAAAATATAAAATAGGAAGTACACGGAGAGATCTTTTGCAAAAGGGAAAGGGACCAAGAGAGGGGGAGAGAGTAGAGGGAAAGGCAGGAAAGGAAAGAAAAAGAAGTTAAGATGTACTATGTGTCAATTCCTCATGAAGAATTTAATTTTACATACTTCAAACTAATATATTTTTACTAATATATTCTTTTAATTTAAGAAGATAGAAATGAAAATAATCTTTTTATTAGTGTGACGTTACTTGTTTTCAATTGCATATTTGTCTGCAGATTATTGTAAGTTTCTGTTTTATGTAAGATTATTTTCAGGAGATAGCAAATTAATTAATGAATATTTAGGTCCATTCAAATTTTAAGTGATGAAATTATTTTCTCCCCAATATTATGATTTTTAAGTTATTTTATAAAAAGGCAAATACAGTATGCATAAAAAAGTACCAAAGTTTAGCATCAGAACAGAGATTTTAAAAAAATTCACAGTGGTTCTTTTTTAGGTAACAATGTTTGGTATACTCAAAATGTATACTTTTTATATTTAAAAGGAAAAAAATAGAAGTCTTTTGAGAGCAAATATAGATATGAATATATTTTTAGGGAAATTTCTCAGTGAGATTACCATATAGTAAGAAATAATAGTAATCACATGTGTGGATGTTCATGTCTATAATTCCAGCAACCAGAAGCCTAGGCATGAGGGTTGTGCGTTTTCAAGATTCTCGCCAAAAATAAAACAAAAGAAAAAGGACAAGAGAGTGAGAAAGTAAGAGAGAAAAGGGAGGGAAACATGATAGAAAGAAGGAGAAAAGAAAGAATAGTAGCAACAAATAAGGGAAGACCACAGTTTTAATCCGGAGATTGCATTATTTGATCTGAAAAGGAATTAGTAATCATCTCTGCTACTTACCGAAAGCTAAGTAGTGAATGAGTAGTCCTACAATCATGGCCACGATCCCCACCACTGCGACAACGGTGAAGAACACTACCCACGGGTTCAGGAATTTCGAAATTGATGACACTCTTGCTGGCCTTTAAAGAGCAGGAAAAGAAATGATGACTCATCCACTCAGGAAGTCCATCATTTCACTTGATCGGCATCTGTGGTTCCATTCTCTTAGCTTGTGTCTCTAATGACAGAAACACAGCCTGGAGACGGACCTGAGCAGAGCAAGGCCTTTCTTAAGGACTTTTTCACCAGGATTTTTGTTTTGTTTTGAAGGTTTTTGTTGTGGACTTTTACTCAACAAAACTATCACCTATTTATTAATTAAGTGGGAGAATAAGAAAATCTGACCCATGGTTTGGAATTGCTTTCTGTCCTACCCGTGGATAAAATTCTCAAAAAGTAAAGGAGAAAAATCCAAGCACAACCTCCAACAAAACAACAATCAAACAAAACAAAACAGAACCAAACCAAACCAAACCAAACAAAACTCTATCCTATTTACTGTAGTACCTTCTAAGATCCTCAACTGATTATCACAGCAAGAGTTTGTCTTCCCTGACATTGTCCCCAGGGTCATACTGGAGAGAGATCATGGGGCAGGAGAAGTGCAGGAGGTGAAAGAAGCAGGGATGACGCTGGGAGAGGCAGACAGGGTGCTCCTCATGCAGCAGTATATTAAAAATGACAGGGAAGAGGCAAAGGGGTGGGACACAAAAGAGCAGTAGGACCAAAAATGTATCAGAATTGCGTGTGAACTAGAGGATTTGTGTGATTTATCATCCCCCCCCCCCAGGGTTTTCTTCTATTAGGCACATAAATCTAGAAAAATCTTACTGCCTCCCCCTCAGCACACATGCACACTCACACACTCCAGGGAGGGCAGCAAATTTGCTGAGCATGAGTTTCAGTTCTGTTCTTGGGAGATCATGTTGTCTTTTATTTTGAGACTCTCTGATAAACTGGGCATAGTACTATCTCACAAGGTTGCTTTGAAGATAAAATAAAGTTATATTAGACATCATTTAACAAATATTTCCAGTTAAGGAGGTTATCGTCCAGGTTGTAAGCACCTGGAGAGGAAAGGAGAGTTTTGTGCTGGTATTTCTGAAATTTGGTAGAGTGCCTGATATATGCAGGTGTTTGGTAAACATTTATGATATTTGTAAATATATGTTGCATACATTATCTTCTTGTTAATTAAAAGCCTTAACATAGGTGGGACGCAGGTGCCTGTAGCCAGATGCTAGTCTGACTTTCATTTTATTTTTGCAAAATTTCAGAGGTAGACCTGAATTTTTCAACTTTCAACTTTGTTAAAAAGGCATGTTAGAAAACATAAAAATTGTCTCAAAGGTGTATTTAGATATGTAGAGCAGAAAGGAACTAAGCTAAGCAGAATAATTTTTAAGAATGAATAATATACCTTTAACTTTAGGATTTTGTTTCAGTTCATTTTGGTGTAGTGGTGAATCTGATCTTTCTAGAGTCTAATGTTGGGAGAAACCTGGCATTTGACATGTGACAACTTTTTGAGCCTTGACTGACTGAGTTGCTTCCTCATGGGCTGGCTGGGCCAGTTGTATGCAACCACACATGCTCAGTGTTTGGGTTTTCTCAGCTCAGTAAATCACCGTGGCTGCCAAGTAGTGGGAGAGAGAGTTGGAGGCAAAAAGATACTCAAAAGCAGATCAATTTTCCTGGAATAATTCAGGTTAAATTGTATTTACAGAGATGAAAACTGACTAGGAATGGGAGGCACACAACCATTGAAAAACCAGAATTAAATTGGAGGCTAAACCTTAGGACACAAAAGCCGGAGTCAGCGTTTTCTTTAGGTTGGGCGAGCTGCTCGTGGGATAACTTTTGAGCCACCTTCCAGTTCACTGGCAGAGACTTCACCTCAATGACTGCAGTGCGCCAGGAGACACAGAAGTCAGTAGAAGGCGTGGAGCCCAAGTGACTTTAATCTCACAGGTTGTAAGTGCAGAAACATCAATTGTTCCGTTCTGTGGAAGCAGCTTAAGAAGCAGCCGGTGTCTTATTCGACAGTATAACTTGTAACTGAATCTTTGCGTGTTGCTGGTTATGATAACATCAACTACACTGTGCAAAATACTGCATTTGGATTGTAAACTCTTACAGACAGATGTTTGCAAACATTATTCGAATTTTGACTTATATTTTAGTGGAAATATGCTCAAGAAAATATTTTTTAATTCAAAACCCATGATTTTTTTTCCAGGGAGAACTGATCCACTGGAGACTTACTTGGTATTTTGAGTAAACCCTTGCCTCCAGCTCTGATGCGGGCTACTCAGCAGTTACAGATCCCAGACATTATGCATTTGTGATTGCCTGCGACTACGACAACAACTATATGTGTGAGATTTTCAGTTTTTGACTTAAAACAACAAAACAAGTGCTGGCGAGATAGCTTAGTGGACTAAGAGCTTGTTTAGGCAAGCACAGGGGCCAGTTTGATCCCTGACACAGACCTGTCACGCTGGGCCCATCCCCAGGAGCACTGAGCAGGCCACCGAGTCTGGGCTTGGTGGTGCATGCCTGTAATCCAAGCACTGGGGACAGGAGGATCACTATGAGCCTGAGCTGCGTAGTGAGACCCTGTACACACACACACACACACACACACACACACACACACACACACACACACAGAAAAGAAAAAAAATAAAAATAAGAAACCTAACAAAACAAATGCTCAGTAGCAATGTTGATCCAACCCTCCTCCCCCTTACTGATAATGAAAAAGTATGAATGTTGGAACTTATCTTTCTAAATTTTTATTGTGGAAGGCTTTGTGTTGGGCATTATGTTGGTATATATGTAGGTAGCGATATTAATTTTTACCATCGATACACAGTTACATGCACTATTCACCTGTGGATTAATAGAGCAATTTAACAACACATTCCATTGTCTGGAAGAGTAGAGGAAATCAGTGACAGCATTGTTTAAACTTCAGCTATATGTAGTAGACATACACAAGAATTTAGACAATTTATTATTGATATATGTGAGATTTCGGGTATGACTTTAAGAAAGATTTAGTCCACAGTCCTTGTCTGTACATTGTCTTCCTCCATGATGGCCTCCTGCACTGTGCTTTTGTAAGTACTCAATAAACTATTTCCTAAGATACATCTTTAGCCCATATCTCTCCATGAGTCTCACATCATCATTCCAAATTATTCACTGACTGTCTTATTGATGCTTTAAATCATTTCATATGAGCAGTTCAAAATTGAACTTGGTATCTGTCTTAGATACTTGTTTTTTGTTGCTGAGATAAAATACCTGGCCCTCAGAGTCAAAGGAAGAAAGGTCTATTTAGCTCACAATTTGTTGAGGCCTCACAGCCAGCTGGCTCCAAGGCAGGGTGATGAGACAAATAGGCATTGCAGAGGACAAACAGTTCACGGTGAGCAGAAGGTAGCAAAGCAAGCAGGGGGCAAAACCAGCTTCTTTCTGCCCCTTATTTTGTATCCAGGCTAATGGGATTAGGGCAGAGCCAAATGAACCAGTGGACTGATTTCGTAATCACACACTCTTAATACTAGCATTGCACCATGAGTCCATCCCATTCAGTCACCTCGAAAAAGCCCATGCATGCCCGACTTGTGCCATGAAGACACAAACATGACAGCATGCCCCCTTGCACCAGCCAAAAAACCCCAAAACAGATACAACTGCTCTCTACATGAAAAATCCCGTTACTAAGCTTGACTTTTTCCTTCTTGGTGACTTCCCACGTAAAACAGTCTCCAAAAAACTCTTAGCCTATTGCCTAAAGACTATTAAGTTTCTGTCTCAACTCTTAAGGTGACAACAGTTACTTTGCTTTTAATGGTTGAACTCCTTGACTAATCCCCCTTGTTTCTAAAACTATTTGGTTACTTAGTTGAAGAGATCTTTGGTGATGACTTACGTTTTCAGCAGTATTCCAGGTGCTGGGGGTACAGTAAACAGAAAAGGCTAACATACCAACTGCAGTGTGGTGCATGTTTGTGTCCCCTCTGAATTTATGTACTGAAATCCTAAGATGATAATATCAAAAGGTGTGGTCTTAGGGAGGTAATTAGTTATCAGGTCATAGGTTTCATAAAAGGAATTAAAGCTCTTAAAAAAAAGACCCCATAAAGACCTGGTGAGATAGTTCAGCGGTCTAAGCACCTGCCTAGCAAGCGCGAGGACCCAGGCTTGATCCCTGGTACTGCATGCCATGCTGGCCCAGTGCCAAGCTGGCCACTAAAACTGGGTATAGTGGCACAGGCCTGTAACCCCAGGGCTGGGGAGGCTGAAACAGGAGGATCACTGTGAGTCTGAGCTGTGTAGTGAGACTCTGTACCAAAATGAATAAATAAATAAAAAATTTAAAAAAGACCCCATAAAGGCCTCTCACTCCACTTTCCATAAGAGGTTACAGGGAGATGCCCATCCATGACCAAAGAGCAGCCCTCCCAGCTTTAGACACGGACTTCCCAGGCTCCAGGCCTCTGAGAAATAAATATCTGCTACTTCAAAGCCACATTCACGGGCAGAGAGAGAAAGAAAGGATTGAACCAGAGAGGTAAAATAAGAGTGTGGGGGAAAGTGTGTGTGTAAGGTGCTGAACAGTTAGAGTGGTCAAGAAAGACCTCGCTAAGGTGCCACTTGGGTGAAGACTAGAAAGATTTGTGAGTTAGCCATGAAGGGACTGGATGAATGATCTGTGCAGAAGTGCTGTTTGGAGGCCTGGAGCCAGAGTCTCGCCTCATAAAATTAGGGATCTCCAAGGGTGAGGCTCAGTGCAGTGCAATTGAATGAATGCTTGCAGTACATGGCTAGTGGAGGGAGATAGACTCAGATAGGACTAGGAGAGCCATTAGGGAATCACCACTGTGAGACATGCCGTAAGTGCATTGGTCTCTGTTGTGAATGAGAGAGAAGGGATTTTGGGTTTTGAGCAAGCATCTGATCTGTTTCTTTACAGATCTTCTGGATGCTGTGGGAGTGAGTGGAGCTGCAGTGGAGAAGGAAACCATTAGAGAGGGAGGTGTTCAGTGGTCAAGGGTAGAGGATGGTG